CCAGCACTAGCTGTGATAGCACTCGCCTTCACAGGGGACGGCGGATAAAAGTCCTTCCCATCAAACTTTGGCAAGCCATACTGAGGGGAACGAGGCAGCTTGCCCCAGTACTGCTGTCGTGCACGGAGCTCTCCCTCGGTGAGTGGTCGGTTATAAACCACATCTGAAGGCTTGACTTCCTGGCTTGGAATACCCTGTGGTACAACACCAACTAAATACGGTGTGGGTTGAGAATGGATGTTAGGCGCCATTGTCTGTGGGATGAAATCAGTTTGTCCGTGAAATGTAAGAGCCCGCGGGAGCTGATACCCCTGCTGGGCCTTGCCTGAGCGTTCATTCATACTATAAGCCTTTGGGAGACTAGGGTAACGTTTCTCCGTCTGATTATTCGAAAGGCTACCCAGACCCCAGTCAGAAGAGGCTCTAGACAGCAGTCGATCCTCAAGTTGTCTCTGGGTCTCAACTTCCTGGGGTTCAATATATGAACTAGCAAGAGTCACATCCTGTTGGAACTTGGGCGCCTGCGTGGCGGCAAGTTGAGCTCTTGGCTGGAATGGTGGGGCCTTGGCAGCTGCAGCGCTCAAACGAGACCTGCTTATCGAATCTGGCCGGGTTAAGGGTTTTGTTTCATTCATGGGCGTAGCAGAGATCCCCATTGTAGGTAGGACCTGCTTCTTTGCGCTGTCTTCTGCAGATGATCCCGAGGTAGATTTCGTGGCTCGCCGAACGACATATTGACTGCTTGAGACAACAGCTGGACTCTTTTCCCTATGTGGCACATGATGCGTGTATGTATCAGACAACGTACCCTCTCCACTTGGCTTTCCGGACTTTGCGGCATTTTCCTGGGCTATTTGAACCTCAAGCATGGACTCCATTTGCCTAAGTTGAGCCAGAACGATGTTGTGTTGATTTTGCAAATGCGCCTCTTCCATAGGTTGTTGAACATTTGCCATCTGAGATCTAATGTAATTGGCGTTGTTTTGAAGACCTTGAATCTGAGATTTCATGAAACTAGACCCTGTAATTGGGCAGAGAGATGCCATGCTTGGTATGTTTTCAGGGTGGAATGGGCCAGCTGGCATCATCATCGGAAACTGGTGTCCAGGTGGCAGTGCCATCGGAGTGGGAAAAGGTGCCCAAGGCATTGGAAATTGAGGTGGAGCGAAGTTTGGGTTCCCAATAATGTTTACTGGAACGGAATTCGGTGGAGGGTATGGGTAGACAAACTGGCCATTGATCATGAATGGTTTCGTCTGGTCGAATTGTGTGGGCGGCGAAATCTTGATTTGCTGTTGGGCATTCTCGTGTGTAGGTTTACTGCCTTCGATTGAATTTTGATCATCCCCTACGAAGGTGCCACGCTGTGGAGAATGCATTGGTAAGGCCATAGGGTTGATTTGGGGCATGAAGCCGTAAGGAGGCAAATAGTTGTTTGGAGGAAGAGGAAGAAATCCTTGAGGGATCAATGTGCTGGGAAGAATGTGTGTTGATTGCTGGTTACCCAACCTGCAAATTAACAGTCAGCTTAACGTAAAAGAAAGTGGACTTTCGCAAATAATCCTTAATATCTCAGGTTATTGGAGGAATTTGTGTTGTTAACTGCCCAACTTGGTGCAAATAAGTGAATGGATTGTTTGGGAGGTTTGCTCACTCTTGCTCAGTTAAAGAGTTTTTCTGGTTAAAGTGATGTTCTTCAGCATTCCATTCAAATACAGGTGGTGGTGCGGCTCTTGTATTGGGGACAATGCGGCCACCAGCTGTGACACGGATGTGAGTCGGGGAAGTTACCGCTTTATAAAACTTCTTGAAGTTCTCTGAGTGCTGGGCATCTGGGCCAGACGGTGCCGAATAGGGTTGTGAGGATCGATCAGAGCTGTTGCGACGACGAAGAGACCACTTGGATGAGTGAGAACGAGAGGCGCGACGAGAATGCGCTCCGGCGCCGTCGAACTTTTCTTCAGAGGACTCAGAGCTGTGTTTAGCTAGCTGGCGTCTGTTGTTTATATCGGCGAGACTGCTGGATTTGCAAGAGAAGAGCTCTGGTTTGTTCATAGCTTCGTGGGGGATTCTAGAAATCGCGTCTATGTGTGTGAATTAGCTCGCGTCAAAACAGAGAGATGCTATGGGTGAATAGGACGCGTACCGATGTCAGGGTGCTTGTTAAGTTTGTTGACGATGCATGTGACGACTGGTAGGGAGGTTCTCAGATGTAGCAACTCCTCGATGGGGTAGCGGGAAGTCGAGGTTGACGTGATGGAGGCCATGTTGATATACTCTCTCTCTCTTTCAAGCGGAAGATTATGGTCAACAACGACGTGACAGAATCTCGGCAACACCACCGTCACCGCTTTGCAGTCGGGAATCTGCCTCGGGAAGCCGAAGGACTCAACACGTCTGTTGGCTCACGAAAGGGACACCCCAAGGCCGAGGGGTTTCGTTCAAAGGGGAACTTTAGGGGGCTATATACTAGGAATTAGCTTTTCCCGCGCCGTTTTTCATGGTGTTTATATCCAACACAGCACAAGAAGGTTCCACCAGAGCAGACTGGGAAGATATACCCAAGGTGTGGAGTGGAAGGAACGCCTACCAAGGGAAATGTTGACACGTCTGAAAACCAAGACAGGTGAAGTTGGGGGACTTTGGAATGCGAGGAAGCAAAACGAATGCGGGTTGTAGAGGGAATGAAGTTGAAGTTGAGAAGCGAGGACGAGGGAAAGAGACAATGGTTTTGCCTGGAAAAGGAAGGAGCCACACAACCAGATAGACTTGAGCAGCGGTAACCGCAATTCTTTTCAAGGAGCATAACAATCAAGGAAGGAAGGAGCGGGTGCTTGTATACATAGGCAAGTTCCTTCAGCGAGTTGTCGTAGAACTTCAACGCCTCCAAATATAATGCTAAAATAATTACGCGGTGCATTATAAACAACGACGGATGAAAGATACAGTAGCATGCCACGACTTCTTACCATATACGGACCAAAATGAATTCTTGTGTTTCTTTGCCTAATGCGTGTCTGTTCTTGTTTATTGTAAGCATATCAGAGAAACCCACCTTATGAGTCTCGCCCTCATACCGCAGCCCACCATGGATATCCACGGAAGGTGATAGATACACCCGTCGACCTTCAAATTCACTGTTACTACCCCAGTTGCTAAATCGCAGGTGCAAACACAAAACTTCAAAATTGTAAACATGGAATATCAAAAACGTGATATTGAGCACGTCTCACAACAAATGGCAAGTCTGACCCTTATGGATATGTCCCCAAACATACACCTCTGCTTCATTGCCTCACAACATTTGGCAGCACGGTCCTGGCACATTCATGCACCCTCGCAGACTGTGGCGGCAACGAATAACAAATTGGTCTGCAGAGAAACCAAGAGTATTCATGTGTCACACAAGACCGTTCGATGTATTTCGCCTTTGTAGACCAATATGTACTTGTAGATTGGTGAGCAACGGAATCCAGGAGCGCATGATATGGAAAATACCGAATATCATACATAGGGAAAATTAGATCCCACTGTCTGTTTATGCAGGTGTCCTGACTTCGGCGTAGAAAGGTCCGCGAGATTAATGCTGATGGTGCCATGATGCCAGCGGAGAACCTGCTCCTTGGAAGCTTCCTTCATATTTGCACCTCACCGCACTGGTTTACCTGAGATGGCCTTCTCGCATGCACGCCCGTTGCCCCTGTCTGAAGTCTGGCAAGTGATCGCATAGTCATCGCAGACTCGAGTAGCCCTGATCATGCACATATGAGGAGAAAAGACGACGTGGAAAATGTCGTCTCATGTTCGACTAGCCGGATCAGTACTGCAATCACGTGGCATTCAAGCACGGGGAGTACTCGTACCATCTTCAAAAATCCCCGAGGGGATCGGGGATCGTACTGCGAAAATCGGCTCCATCGGAAGTGGAGTTAGTTGGCTTGGATAATTAATCCGCGACCAGAATTCTGTCATATATCAACTTTCGTATACGGTGGGAATTTGACCAGCATGACGCGGGCAACCAGGCTTCTTATAGGCTTCACGCTTTCCTGCACCTTCGTGAATGCACGGCTAGGGCAAGTACCTTGTACCACACCACACACGCTCGCTGTCCAGGACTATGATCGTCCCAAAAGGGTTACCTGTCCTTACCAGCTCAACCATCCACAGTGCCCGACGGCCATTGACACGGCGTGGTTTCCGGTTCCGGGAGTGTGAGGGGATTGGAATTGGTGGTGCATGCATGAGATGATGAATAAGTGCCACTACGGCTCCGCAAAGGAATCCAAACCGAGAGCCAATCTGGCATGTCTTCCGATGTTGTGGGTGGTATGTCGCAAAATCAAAGTGGTATTGACATGCTCTCACTATCGACCATTTCTATGCGGTTAGTTCTTTAATCAAACAGTTACTTCTCATCACTGTTGTCTGTCGTACTATTACAAGTTCATTTCCCTAGTATGGCTTTCTCCTATTCGGCATTTCTATTCACCATCATTTGCTAGTCGCTTGTGAGGTTGGTAGCTAGTATGCTTCAAATGGAAGCCCTTCAAGTATTAGGGTCATTATGTCGTTGCATTTAAAATAAATTAGACGCTGGTGTTGGAATTTGTTGGAAGATGTGGCAGTTTAGTATTTAGCTGTGCGTGCTAACTTTTCATTCGCCAAGAAACATTAAAATCGAAAACTAAGTAGTTTCCATCATGTCCTCTGCAATTTTCTGTGCAATATTCCGCCGCCCCGTAAATTAGAAGGATGCCCATATGAGGTTGCAATCCCTTTTTCAAAAGACCGTCATTAACAACATGATTCGTTAGGTAGTAAAGGAACAAAGGCTCAAAAAACCATGGCAGTCGACCCCCACGACACTCGATCGGGTAGCACCGTCCGCTTCAAATTCGGCCCAGAAGTTTAGGCTTGGAATACCGACTTCTCGATTCAAACCGCGGAAGCTCAACGACCACTCCCCGCCCACTCAACATGGTGGTTTACACGAGGTCTTAAGCCGCCCAGCTTGTCGCAATCTCCTGCATCCCAAATCCACTTTTAGAATGCCTCTGATTGCCAGGTCCATCGATTGCCGCAGTGCTTACAGCTGATGGTCCTGTAGCAGCGGGAAAATTCTGGTTTGGGACATCTTTCACTACCCATCCACTATCGGCGTCGCTGGTGGCAATGATCTCCATGATGATATAATGGAGGGCACCGTTTTCAACATGTGGTACGTATACCTCTCGCGAGAGACGGAATGGAGTAGGCATAACGCCTACGTCTGAATCACGACCATCTGCCTGACGCAAGTTAGTATTGATTGGCTGACCTGTTTGTCCAAAGTAGACTTACAAGACAATGGGCACAGGGTGCGTTGTGGACCCAGACCCAGTGCGGGCAGTTGTGCGTTAAGAAGTACTTGCAACGGTACTTATAATATCCTCCAGAGCCACTCATGGTGGGGGACTACTATCCGCTGATAGTGAAGCGTTGGAATTCCACGCGTTTGAGGCGCGGAATGTATGGTATGTGAAAGCGCCTGAAGGCTTGACAGAGCAACTTGGAGAGAAACAGGGGGCTTCAGTATACAGGAGTCAGAATGAGGGACGTCAGGACCTGTAAGTCAAGAAAAAGAAAAGAAGATCGCACGCCAGGATATATAATCTAACCCGGACATTTCTCCCTTGTCCAAAGTAGCCCTGGCCTGCAAGAAATTAGGCGTATACATGCCGGACTCCGAACTTCAAAAGGTGGATACGCATGGCTCCACACCCAGTTTGGTTCTGTGCATACTTCTCTACCTCGGAAGCTTATCAGATCGAGGTCTAACCAGGATAAGAAGAGATGACATGGATTATCGTATGCCTCATGGGCGTGTATTAATAGGCACTTTTAGCATGCCAGAAGAACCCGATGACAAGTGAACAAGGGACATGCCGACCAGGCTATTGCCGCAATGCCGCAAAATCATCCGATTAAGAAGGTTTTGCGGGTAGCTCAAAACGCGTTCAATCTTCATTCCGAACGTAGTAGTCGTACTATAATATATCGGTCGCAACCATTGTCCTGGTTCTGCAACTTCCCCTCCACATCTTGTCACTCTAGAAGCCAGGATCTACCCTACAAAACCACGTCGGACCCTGATTTTCCACGTGTCGAACGGCTTGAGCTCTCCACACAGTCATTAGCGCGCACGCGGCACTTTCTGACCAAGTTTGCTGCTAGCGGAAATCGCACCACATTATCAGATCATATGGGTGGGCACTGGCCCTGATCCTGATGCTTCACTTTATATTTCGGAATGATTGGACGTCTGAGAAGGTTTGAGCTTCGTACTGTATGTACAGTAAGTAGGTCGGTGCCCGCCTGAGAGAGGGAGCCAGATGACTAACTGCAAATATCTGGATCGGAGATGTCTGTCGACGATAAATTGCCCTCCTGCAGGACCAGTCGGACCGGATGTAGCCCTACCCTACCTACCCCTACCCTTCCCGCTGTCAAAGCACTTAGCGCCCGTTAGATACTGCAGCGGCCCGCCTATGGGAGATCCGCTGTTGGGCAGAGCAGAGTTGAGCCTCAGCTGAGAAACACCACAGTGGGAAACACTTCGTAAGCCAAGTAAATTAATTGACTAGGCTAGGCTAGGCTACAGTAGGGATTCCTTCGAGGGCGGCTTCGAAGATGTGGGGGAGTGGAGTGGGGTAATCTGCACCGGCATCTCATTACGTAGGCTCGACTCCGACGACTTGCACGTTTTGATTGGCCAGTGAGTGACTGAGCACAGTACCATACCTATGCAGTGACATCACATACTTCCGTATGATGTGCCCTGCCAGCTTGTTGTACCCTCCCTCCCTCGCGTGTCCTTCTCCATCGAGATGGAGGACGTTAGACCGGTCGGTCTAATTGGGAACTCCCACCAAGGTAACACCAAAAATGCATTTTCCGTCGATCCACAGACCGGGTCCGATCTCAGATGCTGTTGTGTACCTAAGTACCAACTTGCAGCTGCTGGTTCAATGTTGTGTTACGAGCAGGTGCATCAGGTGCAGACTGCATAGAGAGCATGTTCGTGTGACATGACCATCCCGTCGTGACAAAGTAACGGGAATGTGAAGAGAGGCCAGGCCAGGCCAGGCCAGGCCCAGTTTGACCGGCAATGGAAGGGACGGGCCGATGCAAAAAATCTACTGATATTCGTACCGTGGTCCTTCGTACAGTAACAGTACGGATACGGAGTACGAGTACGAGTACTGACTGACAGCAAGAACCCTATAAAGAGTGGGCTCTGCTCCTCGATCAATTTGCTAAACGTGAAAGCGTCGGTCGGGAAAGCACAAAGCCTGAAGTGGAATCGACTTGTCGCATTATATACTCTAGAGGTTGCAATGGATGACTGTGAGTGGGCATGTGGCAACGACAACCCCTGATGGTGGCAAGCATAAGAGCATTCGATTCCTTTGGGGGCCCGGCTCACATCCTATTCGACATCTTCCTTCGAAAAGTCATCGAGCCATGCATGTCTTGAGATCTGACTCAGCAACTGCACCCTCACACCATCATTCACGGCAGATCGCGAACCCGAGGAAATATGTTCAATTGTTGTTCTGTTGCGCTTCTAGTAATATTGTACTCTTTCTACGGATACGACGACGAATCAAACGCCTGCTGACAGCAATGCATGTCGCCGGTGCATTCTACTCTATCATCTAGCACCTGTTCTTTTCTTCTAGCATCTAAATGTTCCAACAACCAAGGCCTCCTTATTTACTCCTTTTCGTTGACTGCTTCCTCTTCACCCTGTCCAAGGTTCTTTCAAGGGCCGTCCTCACATCTCCTTTCTTGAATGTGGTGAGATCGTAGTAGTTTGGTGCAATATCCTATCCTCAAATATTAGCACTTTCCTCGAGACGAGATGTGAAGTTTGGAAGAGACGTACCAGCAGCCATTCCGGCTTGACAGATGAGACCGTTCTCACATAGTTCTTGGTCGTGAGTACAAACTCATTGTAGACCACCCATTCACTGTCAACAGCGAGAACGGTACTTGGATGTAGCAAGACACTCTGGTCATCCTTCACAGTCTTGTAAGTCTTTCCGCTACCGTCCTTCTTCGCTACTTGCATAAAGAAGCCCGCAACCAAGGCACGTCGAATATTAGTATAATATTCCTTATCGTTGAAGTCCGTGCTGAGAAGATCAATCTCTGACTTTTCCATGATGCGTTTCAACTGCTGGCGAACGTTGTCGGCTGACTGCAAGGCTCGAAGACTGAGAAAATGTTCATGGCACCATCGCTTTGGATCAGCTTGTGCCTCAGCTCCTTTGAAGGCGTGATATACGTTCAGCATGGTGAGATGATCACCATCCTCATGCTTGAAGAGGTCCTTCATTTGGTCTGCGCGCTTCTTTGCGCTTGCTGGACGAACAAATACTTGAGGGACGGATAGAAGGGCTGTGAGCGACAAGATCTCATTAGAGCAGTAGAACTCGGGAGAAGAGATGAGCATAACGGCAAGAGCTGGATCCAATGGAAATTCCGAAGCAAGCTTGCCAAGCTGGGTAAGGTTTCCATCATCGTCGAGACAGGCTAGGTAGTTTAGTTCTTCGAGAGCTCGCATAAGTGTCTCCGGGGCTGGGGATCCATAAGGTCAAAATGTACCAGGTCATCAATTCCAAGCTTCTTTAACTCCAGAACAGTGTTCGCAAGGTTCGACCGAAGGATCTCGGGGTATGTTTGCTCGATGAGTTCCTTTTTGAAAGCAGCTTCGGTGTACAAGCGGAAACACTTTCCAGGGCGCGTACGACCAGCACGACCGGCACGCTGCTGGGCTGAAGCTTTTGATATAGGCGACACAAGCAGTGATTCAACCCGAATTCGGGGATTGTACACCTTCTGCTTACTGAAACCAGGATCTACGACATATACGATACCGTCGATGGTTAAACTGGTCTCTGCAATGTTCGTTCCAACAATAACCTTTCGACCAGGAGGACCTCCGGGTCTGGAGGGTGGTGGCGCTGGCTCAAAAATTCTCTGCTGTTGTTGAGGAGGCAGTGTCCCATAAAGGGGATAAACCTTCAGTGGCCCTGCATCAGCCTCTCTTATCATTTCATCAGCCTCCAAAGAGATCTTCCTGCATGCGTCTTCAATCTCTTCTTCACCTGTCAAGAATAACAGGATATCGCCCTCTGGCTCGGTGGCATGGATCTGAAGGACTGTACGTAGAGCAGCTTCCACGTAATCTCGCTCGGGTTCGGGAGTGTAAAAGATCTCCACAGGATGTGTTCTTCCAGGTACAGCCAATAGTGGAGCATCATTGAAATAGCGCTGGAACTTTTGTGCATCCAAGGTAGCGGACATAATGACAATTTTGAGATCAGGCCGCCTGAGTGCAACCTCCTTGAGCAGTCCCATCAATATATCTGTAGCAAGTGTACGTTCGTGAGCCTCATCAAGAATGATGCAGCTATACCTCGCTAAGTTATGATCATGCATAGCTTCGCGCAGAAGCATACCATCTGTCATATATTTGAGGACAGTCTTTGGACCCGTGACATCCTCGAAACGAATGCTATATCCAATCTCTTCTCCGAGTTTCACATCCATCTCATTTGCAACACGTTGAGCTACCGACATTGCCGCAACTCGACGAGGTTGGGTACACGCGACAAGTTTTCCATTGAAGTGTGGGAGGTCGTCGAATAGGACGAACTGAGGAATTTGTGTAGTTTTACCAGAACCAGTTTCACCAACGAAGACGAGGATCTGGGTCTTATGAAACATGTCAAGAAACTCTTGTCTGTATAACATTAGCTTTGCTGACCGTAAGGAGGGGCGCGTTTATTCACCTCTGTTTGTGAACTGGAAGGTCTCGGCGCGTCTTGAGGATGTTGAAGTACTGCTTCGAGAGGGGCGTGTTGTTGAAAGGATTATTTGGTCCATCTTCCGCAGTATGCGCCTGCGCAGCCGTAGTCTCATGCCTCTTGAAGTCCGAAAGCCCAGTGCGGGCCACTCCATTGTAACCGCCATTGCCGTTGCCGTTGTTCTCGTACATGTGGGCGAGGTACGGATTTGACGCTGGGTCCCGATCATCCACTCTTGGTCGCTTTGCCCGCGGCATCTCTCGCTCTTCTAGTTCTGGGCGACGGTCAGCCATGGTTATTGCTGACTAGAGGTATGTGTTGTATGTCTTTACTCTTCAGGATCAACACGTTGAGGCTGAACTGAATGGTATTGACTTTTTTCGCATATTTTCAGCCTGCCGAATAAGATAAGGCAACACTAGTCTAATCAGCACGTGACCATCACATCCCCATTAGATGGCTCATAAAGCGGCATTACTTTCTACCAATATTCATTGTTCAATGCGGCTTAACCTGTAGAAACCTAACGCCGCTTTTTACGCAAACCTGATCTCCTCAACTACGTGACTTCTGGCTCCTACATCTATATCTGCTCTTCAATAACAAAGATGGCGAACGCAGAATCCCCAGACCCCAATACAGATCTTGTGCCAGTATCAAATCCAGATGAGGAAGTAGATCCTCTTGCGCCAGCGCCTGAACCTAAACTTCCAACTCGGAAAGATGCCTCTCTAAAGCAATTCCTCTCCAAGATGGACGACTATGCACCAATAGTAAGTTTCTCGAGACACTCTTTATGGCACATCTAACCTTCTTTAAAGATTCCTGATGCTGTGACCAACTATTATCTTACCAAAGCTGGGCTGCCACCGCCACCTCAAACGGATGAGCGTCTTGCTCGCCTGCTCGCACTGGCGACCCAGAAGTTCGTCGCAGACATCGCAGCAGATGCATATCAGTACTCTCGAATTCGTTCATCAAACTCTTCGAATGCAAACAACCCGATGGGCAATCTTGGAGCTGCAGCAGGGTTCCCTGTCCCAGGTCAACCAACAACCGCACCTGGCAGCAAGGAACAGCAAGGCAGAGGGGGGCCTCTAGGTATCCAGCGGCCGGGCTATGGAGGTGGGGGACAAGGTGGTAGTCAGAACAGGACAGTGCTTACAATGGAGGATTTGGGTATGGCAGTCGGCGAGTATGGCGTCAATGTGAAGAGGGGAGAGTTCTACCGATAATATGGCGCGCTGGAAACACTGATCTTACAGGCTTATACGGAGGCGGCGTTAAATCAAGGCGTTATATAAGGTCATGAAACGATGATGACTAGGCAATGATCAGAGCATATTGATTACATGGGATGATTTGTAGCTTGCAACTGAATCGTCTGATCCTCGAAATGAAAGGACCCTGAGGTTGTATAACAAAAGGTCTTTGCTAAATAAGGCAACTTGGATTCAGAGATTCCCAAATTGAGTGGATGTGTGTCAAGGTGATGGCCGCCGGGTATAATTTATCTGAGTACTTTGAAAGCCGGTGTAATGTAAGAGTTGATATTGCATTATGCCAACCCTCGAAACAATCTCCATGACATAACATTGGTTCTGTCTTGCTTGTCATGATATCGGACCACCGTAACCTCCAGTTGCCTGACCTAGCTCGAGAATGTCTCACAAAGTGTAGATGATCGATTTGCGCATGCCCACGTCCAAATCCATTCAACAAAAGTTCGTACCCATAACGTCCATGGCATTGGATACTAGTACTGTACATCCAAATCTCATCATATGGTACACTGCGATGCTCCCTCTTATAAAACGCCAGCCCATACCATCTATTTGTTCTTGCTCATTTTGTACGAAAAATTTCCCCTCGTCCTTCAATCACAATTAGCACTCTCGATCATAAGCGAATAAGCAGAACATACGGTGAGAATTCTCCTAGCTTATGGCCCACCATGTCCTCCGTGATTTCTACATCATGGTATATCTTCCCATTATGCACTTGAAATACCAACCCCACGAAATTAGGTAATATCGTCGCAGACCGTGCTTGTGTTTGTATGGGAGGTGGCTTTTGGCCTGGAGGGACTCGAATGATTGGAAGACTGGGTGCAATTTGTTAGAATTGAAAGAATGGACTGGATGGCGGCGCATACGGAACGATGTTGGGCCCTAGAGCAGTCAGTATGTAGTCATTGAAGAACGCATTCAAGTAGGATCTAATATACCTTTCCAGACCGAGCGCGCAAGAAGCATGCGTGAGGGAAACATCTTCTTTTTCGTCTCTGTATTGCTGAGACCGGCCTCGACAAACCGGCTGGCCATTGAATATGGAGAAGTCTGAAATGCAAGGATTAAGCACGCTAATGATAGTCACGTGGCTTTCGCGCGTCTCCCGCGACCGGTCGCGTTTGCCTTAAATACATGCGTTTCGGTTGAGCAGACGGACAAACGGCAACACTGCAACGACCAACTACGCCTTAGATTCCTCCAGAGGATTCAGGAATCATCAGTAATCTTCGAGTCAATAATCTGCTTTGAGTTGTTGGTGGGAAAGCCACCATCAACATCACGATGCCACCACTACGTGGTTAGTTCTGCCCCCCCCCTCCCCCTTCCTCTCATGTTGCTGAACTGATCATTTGTAGACGCTGATACGATTCGTATCCTGATTGCTACCGATAGCCATGTTGGGTACTGCGAACGAGATCCCATCCGCAAAGACGATAGCTCCAGAAGCTTCAATGAAGTTATGGAATTGGCAAAGTCGGAAGATGTAAGTAGCACAACATCATTATGGAGCATGCGTCTAACCAAGCGTAGGTCGATATGGTCCTGCTAGCCGGTGATCTCTTTCATGACAACAAGCCTTCTCGAAAGTCAATGTATCAGGTCATGCGATCATTGCGGAAGAACTGCCTAGGAGACAAGCCTTGTGAGCTTGAGTTTCTCAGCGATGCCAGCACTGTCTTCGAAGGGGCATTCAACAATGTCAACTACGAAGATCCTGATATCAATGTCGCTATTCCGGTCTTCTCTATCCATGGAAATCATGATGACCCTACGGGCGACGGACACTACTGCTCCTTAGATCTTCTCCAAGCCTCCGGATTCGTTAACTATTTTGGTCGAATTCCCGAAACTGATAAGATTGAGGTGAAGCCAGTTCTTCTGCAGAAGGGCAACACCAAGCTAGCCTTATTTGGTATAAGCAGCGTCAGAGACGAGAGACTATTCCGAACATTCAGGGATGGGAATGTCAAATTCTTCAGACCAAGGATGCAGCAGGATGACTGGTTCAACCTGATGGCTGTTCATCAAAACCACACCGCGCACAACGAGACCGGGTATCTTCCAGAAAATGTACTTCCCGATTATATGGATCTTGTCATCTGGGGCCATGAGCATGAGTGCCTCATTGACCCACGGCTTAATCCAGAGACGATGTTTCATGTAATGCAACCTGGATCTTCCGTGGCAACTTCCCTTATTCCTGCCGAAGCTGTCACTAAGCACGTCGCTGTTGTCGAGGTTAACGGTAAGAATTTTGTGATGAAGAAGCACAGACTCAAGACGGTTAGACCCTTCATTTACCGCGAGATAGTCCTGGCAAACGAGGCTCGCTTCAAAAAGCTTGCCAAGGAAAAAGACAATAGAACTGCATTGACGGCGGAGCTGATGAAAGTTGTTAACAAACTAATCGAGGAAGCCAAAGCAGAATGGCTTGAGTCACAGGGAGATGAGGCGGATGAAATCAACGAAGAAGATATTCCACGACCCCTGATCAGATTGAAGGTTGAAGCTACGGCCCCAGAGGGTGGCAAATTCGACACCGAAAACCCACAACGATTCTCCAACAGATTTAGTGACCGAGTAGCGAATGTCAATGATGTGATCACGTTCTACAAGAAAAAGGTTGCAACCAGTAAGTTCCAAATGTTTGGTTTAGAGATACAAGTACTAAGATTTCGTAGGGAGGAATAAGAACGATACAGATATGCCCGAGGAATCGGTTCTAGCAGCCATGGCAGGGATCGACAACATGAAAGTCGAAAAGTTTGTTCGAGAATACTTAGCCGCTCAGTCGCTGAAGGTTCTCCCTCAAGCACTTTTTGGAGACGCCATCAAGCAATTTGTTGACAAACAAGACCACCACGCAATGGAGTACTTCGTAAGAGACAGTCTCGCAGGACAGATGCAGGAGTTGATGTCGCGAGGAGCAGATGAAGAAGGAGATATGGATGGAATTATGGAAGAACACCGTGCCAAGATGGATGACGCTTTCAAAGCTGCAGGTGGAGTTTCGACGAAGCCAAAGAAGGCTCGAGGGAAGCTTCTTCCCCGCCGACGTTCCTGGGATTCAGATGTAGATGGCGAATGGGGAGATAATGCCAGTGCTTATGGCTCACCCGACGACGATGAAGTCCGCGCAAAGCCTGCTTCTAGACGTGGAAAGGCTGCCTTAAAAGGAAGTGACGATGATGCTTCGGTCGTCTCAGCACCTGCGACGAAGACACGAAAGGCCCCCGCGAAGAAGGCGCCTGCCAAATCTCGCGCTCCCGCCAAGGCACCCGCTAAACCCACAGGAAGAGGGAAGAAGAAGGTTGCAGAGCCTAGCGATGATGAAGATGATGATCTTGTCATGATGGATGCTCCCCCACCTCCAAAGTCGATGCCGAAGCGCGCCGCGGCAACAAAGGGACGACAGAGCACACTTAATTTCTCACAATCGCAAGCAAAACCCTCCACGGCACGAGAATTAAGCGATGATGAAATATCTGATGAGGACGATGCATTTGAGCCGGCGGTGAGCTCGTCGAGAAGAAGATGATTTTAGGGTGATGAGATATGATTCATATGAAAGGAGATGATTAGTAAGCGTGAGAGGATATCGTGTCTCGGGTTGCATTTGATAGATACGAATATTATTGGTGTCATCATGAAGGTATGAAATCACGACATACGCTGTATAATATTGCTAGTTTTTGCAGACCATATCTGGGATCAGCGAAAAGCAAACTTTGCTTATGGGAACGGTGGGAAATAGCTAGCCTTTTCAAATATCAATGAAAGGAGATAAGGGACATTTATGCTGTCACTGGTGCAGTTTAGAATCACCACGTAGGTTTGCGTCTCGTCGAACTTGATTGTGTACAGCATATGAAATTGTGATGCAATGTTTACATAGCTTGGTTCATTGAGCCGGTGTGGCACAAATTCCACATTTCTAAAAAGTACATTGCTAAGTATCCCTTTCCAGTAGGTACATTCAGGGGGCTTGGGGACACAAAACGCTCTGAATGTCTCTTTCGAGCTTAGCGACTCCAATAGCCTATGTAGACCACAGCCTCAAATTTTCTAGAGCGATGTATTCATTACAATATTTGACCTCCAATTACCACGCCTTCACGTGTCATTACGCCCTGCGATGGACATGCGGTGTCAAAACTTTCATCCTGCTTTATCGGCATAATTTTTTTTTCTTATAAAAGGATATAGCCCTACGTTGCATTGCCTTTAGGAGTAAGTAAGTTCTCTCTCACTTCTCCCAGCAGAACTCAAATCATTACCTAGGAACCCACCCACCAAGATGTCAAAGCATCCCAGAACCGCGCTCCTCGTCATAGACATCCAGGACGGTTTCTTGGAGCCTACTTTTCATACTTGGGGCCCCTCTCGAAGTAATCCAGATTTCGAAGTGAACGCCGCTTCTTTGATAAACGCGTATCGGCATCTCGTCGCCAAGTCCGAGTCGGCCATACACAAGATTATACACGTACGACACGCTTCTAAATCATCTACATCCCCTTTATGGCCCACCGCACCAGGCTTCAAGTTCCAGGCCTTCGCCACACCGAAAGGAGAGGAACTCGTCATCACCAAAAACGTCAATTCTGCCTTCATCGGCACGAATTTGGAAGAGGTCCTAAAGGTGCATTTTGGAGGGGCTCCTGGCACGCTGTTCATTATCGGGCTGACCACGGATCACTGTGTTAGTACCAGTACGCGCATGGCTGGGAATCTCGGCGTGTGTGATGAGCCGGATGGGGAGAGGGGGGAGTGGTGTTGGTGGGGGATGCCACTGCGGCGTGGGCGAAGGGGGTTGGGGAAGAGTTTCTTGATGCTGAGACGTTGCATAGGGCGCATATTCAAAGTTTGGAGAACGAGTTCGCTACGATTCGTGGGACGGAGGATGTGAGGAGGTCTTGGGAGAAGTGGGTGGCGGACAGTTAGGAGGTTTAGGCTCAATTATCAGTGCTCGAGGTAGTTCTGGGACATCTGTTCTCCTTCTTGAACGCGGCTATGTAGGTTAAATCAGGCTTTCGGAGTATATTGCTATTTGACCATCGCATTGATTAAGAATAGCACCGCTAAATATGCTCCTCCTCAGGCTTCGCAGCTGAGCTCAAAACCGATGCTCCAACGACAGCGACCTTCACCTCATCATCCCACCATCCTTTAAAGGTCCTCAAGATCTCCATCCTCTGCTTGGCCATCTTCTTCCCCGGTTCCGTCTTCATCATCCCCTCCCTCGCGAAGAGCTTGTTCTCAAATTGCTCGATAGACCTCTCCATCTCTCTTTTCAATTGGGCACCTTCATAAGTAAAAACCCTGCCCACTCCCACGGCACCCAAGGCATCCAACCGATCGGCGTCCTGTACCACCGCCAATTCCGGATGCTCTTTGATAAGCCTCTTCACATGATCCACGTCCTTCATTTCAGAGGTGAATGAAACACCGGTGCAGATTGCCTGGATCTTCTGTGCAAGTGACTCTCCCGCGCCAAAGTCAAGAAGCAGATCGCGTACCATGGTCTTGGCATCATCTCCTTCCTTCAAGTACTTCTTGTCTCCTACATCGTGGAGGAGTGCCGAGAGGGTGATGACGGTCAGGTCGAGAGCGGGTTGCGGGGTGGAGGGTGGTGTGGATGCTGAGGATGTCTGGAGTTGATCGTATATAGTGTGAGACAATCCCAGGACTCGCAGGAGGTGGTTGAAGTCGTGGGAACCGTCATACTGCTCCATATAGCCCACCAGGTACACGGCAACTTTGTTGACGAGCTCTTGACCTTCTGCCATGCTGAAATTCATGATGAAAGAGGGGGGTATCGATATGGGAGTTGAGGAATTGAGGAATTGAGGAATTAAGCTGGATATGAATAGGTAAGGATTGAATGGAGATTCTATTTATGCCCACCCTAAAGCATCAAAGAGAATGACAGGTAGCCAAGAGTGAATAGCGAGAAGTTGTTATTGTTTCTTGGGGTCTCTCGAAACAGAGAGAAGCAGCGGATATCAAATGACTCACTCACCTTGACCTTATCTGGCAGCTTTCTTTCTATGCAATGTTATATGTACGATACAGACAAACGCGTTCATGGCTTGACGCGACTGCGCTTTGACGACCCACCCACCCTGACCCCCACCCTACCCCTTAACTAGCGACGAGAATTGTTTACCTTTCTCCTATCCACACTATATTTCACTCCAAGTCCTCGTCGCTGAGTTTGGAAGCCAAGTGATCGATCTCACCGAGGTACAATCATCGCGTTGCGGCTAATGTTGTAGTTGAGAGTATTTGGATGACTGCACCCAGTGGTATAGCCGATAACTTTCTCTTCAAGCGACGCATCAAAGAGTGTTCACTATCGAAGCATTACTTTAAAGTTTATCATCTAAACGGAGCATGAGGCATCCAAGCTAGTCATTTTAATTCGTGATTCAGAGAGAATTGTGAAACTAATAAAGAGTTACCTTTGCTTGCTTGCTTTTCACTTACGCTTTTGAGAGAAACAATACTGCAAACACTACCTGCAGTTGTTATTATAATTAATTTAGAGATATGGAGGAATCGAATAGGCAATAATATAGTTCAACAGAAAGACATTAATTGATCAAAACGTATTCTAGGAAAAGACGCTCTAGCTCAAATAAAAATAAAAATGC